ACATGATCATTGCTCAATTATTAGTTGACACAAGGGAAGCACGAGTTCCAATGCAAGTTCCGAATTTAAGAAATGAATACGTCTAGATAGACACTGGGACAAACGTGGTTGTATGCCAATCAGTGGAAGAAATAATGACCGCAGGTGGGGAGTATAAAGCACGCACCGCAGCTTCATATACAGCACCGGGAAATGATGAGAAAACAGTGGATTTCCTAGAAAACTTGACCGATTTGTATGAAAGGTGCAGCTCAAGCCTTGACAAGGAACAACGGGTACAGTTTAAGAAACTTTTGTTTTGCCACCAAGATGCATTCGCCAGTTCATCAGATTTAGGGAGGACATCGGTGTACAGATATGAAATTGACACAGGATCGGCAATACCGATAAAACAGCAACCCAGATGACTAACAATTTACCAAAGAGCAGAGGCTGAGGCAGAAATGAAGAAAATGCCCACGAAGGGTATACTTGAACCATCTTTGAGTCCGTGGGCATTGCCCAACCGTATCTGCGAAAGATTCGTACCCGCTACCAAGAATAGATGATACACTGGATGCTCTATCCGGTTCTACCTGGTTCTCGACGCTAGACCTTCAAAGTGGTTATTGGCTGGTGGAAATATCCGAGGAAGACCAGGAAAAGGCGGTATTTGTTGCAGGCTCTGGGCTTTGGTTTTATCAGTTTAAAGTTATGCCGTTTGGGCTGTGCAACGCGCATGCTACATTCGAAAGATTGATGGAAAGACTACTGACGGGACTTCAGTGGCAGACATGTCTGCTGTATTTAGACGGCAATGTGACCTATGGCCGAAGTTTTTCGGCAAGCTTTGTAGCGTCTTGAAGAGATACTACTGAGACTCAAAGCAGCAGGATTACGGTTGAGCCCCAAAAAGTGCAAACTTTTTCAGCGAAGTGTTACTTTCCTGGGACATGAAGTTTCCTAGAAGGGCATTGCCACAGACAGTTCTAAAAAATGCAGACGGCTTATCCTGTTGGCCTTGCGATGACTCTCAGCAGTGTGACCGAGTCAAGCGTAATTCCGAGCAACGACCAATCGCATACAGTATAAGGATTCCTCGTAGCCTCACCGTGAAAGGCAAAAACAACACTTCATCTAATATTGAGGACGGAATCCAGAAGTCCAGTGATGGGGATGAAGATACTGAAAAAGACGATGATTCTCAAGGAGACATGGGGCTGGTAGATGCCTTAAGGTGCACCGTCATTGACTTGGGAGAGGAGCACAAGGAGTTTCGGCAGGAGAAGTAAAGAGACGGCGTTTGGCCTGAGGTTGCAATGAGCACCAAGCCATTGATTCTTTGGGACAAGGTTTCCCTGGAGAGAAGTCCAAAAGTGGTGGACTGGACAGCCTGGAGTGTGCAGCCGTGGACGTTTGCCGTGGTAAAGTGCATCCTGAGAAGTCTGAATATTATGTAGAGTGCATAGCAAGAGAATTAAGAATTAATTAATTCACAGTGGGAACGATAAAACGATCGGCCTGATCATTCGGTGTAAAGAATGATGAAATCAAAGAATGGATGGAATGGAAAGATGTGCGACCTAAATGTGATGAAGTGGCTAAACGGTATTGGAGCCAGTGGGACTGCTTACAGATACCAAACTGTGTTTTGTGCAGAAAATGGGAATCTGAACGAGGTGACAAAATAACTTGCCAGTTAATTCTCCCAGCCGAACTTAGACAGGAAATAATGCAACGGCTTCACAGTTACCCCTGGGTAAAACTAAGACGTTGTACAGAATTCATAGAAGGCATTACTGTATGAGTGGCGACAAGATGCAATGCGGCTCTGCAGAACTTGTGATATATGTACGGCTCGTAAACCCCCGATTCGGAAGGGTATGATTACAGCTGTTTGATTTCAAAACCCACAGAAAAAAAAGGGATACAGTCCTAAACTACAGCGAACCTGGGAGGGACCGTATACAGTTACAAGTCGGCTCAGTGACGTGACATATCGCAAACAAAAAGGGATTAAGACAAAGCCAAGAGTTATTCACTACAACTGTTTGAAGCCTTATTGTGGTGAAAACCCACCGACATGGTTCCAACTACGAAGCATACAGGGCGAGACCCCGGGTTCATTGAAGATGAGCACCAGAAGTACATCAGAAGTAATCAGCAGTGAACAAGTGACGAAAACAAGAAAGAAATTCTGGGGCCCAGGAGAAGTCCGCCCAGTAGAATAACTCCAAATAAGTTTGGAGACTATAACTTTTATTAAGGCACAAAAGATTTTATACGCGATGACGTTTAACGATCTTTTAGTTACACTGAAAGAATTGACTACTTTCCGCAGCAGTGCGTAATCATTTGAAGTGATTTGCATAATGCAGCTGGAATATAGAAGATGATCAATGACTCGCGATGACCTGTTTCTGGTAGCGACGTTTCTACTTCTGGTGCTGCTAGCCTTCATCAGGCAACTGAAATCTGGATGCTGCAGATTCCGCTATATACCGCTGGACCGGTTCCTCTGCGTGCCCCCCGCCGCGGTGTACTGCGGACGTAGTACGGCTCACCTCCATGGGCGTGAAGGGGCGTGTCCTCTGCGTGGCTCCGTTGTGCTTCGTTGCTGCAGTGATTGTGTTGACGGACAGTGGGGAGCCAGAACCCAGGGATGTCGATGCCGCTGTCCCTGTTGATGCTGTGTCGGTTGAGGCGGATGTGGAGGGCCTCCTTGATGCGTCTGACTGTTTCGTCATTTACCGCGGTGATTATTTTTATCTCTTCTATTGATAATGCAGCTCATTGATGCATTAACGCGCGGCACACGTTCATGCAAGGTGTCCCCTCACGTAGCCATCCAGGTTTGCGGCACCAACGAAGTTCAGTATGTAAGCGATCACTTTACGAACAGGCCAGCGAGGAGAACAGATATAAGAAAAATGAAATACAGTTGTGTGTTCTGTCGAGCAATGTTCATGGATTGGAGGGACTTGTCCCGACACACTCGGGATTCCCATCGCGGGAAAAAGACCTGGAGATGCCAACTGTGTCCGTACGAGACGACCCATGAAGGGGACTATGAGCGGCACCGTCGGAGGATCCACAAGTCGAGGCCCATACCTACCGGCATAGAACACTGACTTTGACGTGAGGCGCGAAGCCCAAGACATAGGCCTAGGCCTACTAGCAGGGGTTGGAAACGACGGAAGGAGAGGCACCCCTGGAGAATCCAGGCGGCGATCTGCCAGCTACCACAGCGACGGCCCTGATGACGCCACCATGTCCATAGCCGCAACTGCAGATGGTAGACGAGGAATTCTTGCAGCTCCACCCCTTTCCTGCAGCGATGGAAGCAAATGACGAGCTGACGGCACTGGCCCCCACCTCCCTGGCGGCAGACGACTTCGAGGCAGTGATGGAAAGCTTGCAGACCCCCAGCCCGGGTACCAACCCCGACGCAGCAACCCCACCCAGGAAGGTCCCCTCACCCATCCCAGCGGGTCAACCCATCCAGGTACCCATATTTGAGAGCTATTTTTTTTAGTATGCTACCGGTTTGATACCCGGCTTCCTTGACACGTAGCCCATTTCGATCTTTGTGGCTTTACCGAAAACCTCGGAAATTTTTTAAAACCTCCCTGGAAATATTTTTAGCAGACCAACTTTTCACCCTTATTAATTCTGTAAAATACAGCAACTTATGTCTTTAATGCTATTAATTATTGCAAGATTAACTGCATGACTAGAAAGTGCCTCGTTAGAGCTGACTGGGACAAGATGCAAATTTAATACTTTTGTATTAGAGCTTTTGTAGAGAGCAAAATTTGGCTGCTTGAATTTAGCGCCCTTTTTGTTTTCCCATGATGCATTGGTAAATTCTGTGTTCTGGTTTTGAACAAGATGGCGGACGTCCAGTGTACAGGCCGTCGCAATTTTAATAATATTTTACGTGTTGTAAAATTTTCTCAAAATTTACATTGTTTTTAAGAAAATATAATAAATACTTAAAGAAGTTCATATTTCAAAAGATTTCACCGTTGGGAGATGTTTACACAAACAACCTGGGCGGTAAATTGGCCCCCGTGGACGTGCTTACTCCATACTACGCATAACCATGAATTTGACCGTTAATAAAGTTGTTTTTTACCAGTGTACGCCAATTTGTCAGTGTCGCTCTGCATCCACATGGAGTTAATTGTGTAGACTTTGCATTCCGCGTACAAAATCGGGTCTAGGGGACACGATAGATCTTTCGTTTGTTTATGTTAAGAGTAAATGTACATCCGCTGGCATCTTCTGTTTGCAGTTTGTTGCTTTTCATAAACTGTAAACGTACCAGCATTACAACAATGGCAAATAGTTTGGGCAAATCTTCAACATGCCCGATAGAAAAAAATCTCGTGTCCGAAATCTGGGCCTGGACTACGTTTGCTAGCTTATTTCTAGCTTGTATTTCCAGACACCACCTATTGTACTCGACCAAAGACTAGCGAATTCTACTTTGGAAATGTTTAGGCCTACATGTAGGCTAAATTTCAAAAACTTGAAAAGGCTGAATTTAGGCCCTAGTAGTCAGGAAGTAGCCGTAGAACTAGTGTAAAAGTACTAGGCCTCCATGGCCTGGGCCACGTACATCACGTCAAGAATTCTACATTGTTTATTGGGCATTTCTAGAGCTATACTTAAGTTTTTAAACATGAAATGTAAGAAAACTATGATTGTGTACATGTACAATTGCCCTATTTGGAAAACAAACCTGATCTAGCATGAAATGATTATCAATCATAAAATGATATACTAGGTGTCACAAAAACATAGATAGCATTTGTACATTGGCATGATAATTACGCCTGTTGTTTGCCCCATCCTGTTTGTAATCTATAGAGAAATGTGAGGAAAATATTGAACCTTTTGTAACACACTTGTAAATATACATGTAGTTAGCTGTGCGTAAAATTCTTTATTGTCTGGTGTTACTAGCCCACTGAGCACATTTAATTCGTATCATATTTCTGCCTGTACTTCAGGAAACGTCGTTGTGAGATGCCAGCGCATGATACTAATCAGATTTGACAGCTCATCCCGCACTCCATGGACAGCTCGCCTTGCTCTATTGAATTCAGTATGTAGCAGTTCACCACCCTGCTCGTTGAGTAAGTTGCTCCATGGTGTGGTCCTCAAGCAATTGTAGCTTTGGAGTAATGCGTCCTATTGGAAATGACCCCCTATAAACACACAGAAAGAGCTTAATGCACACATCTGAGTACATGATTCTTCGTGGAAATATGCATATTTATTGGTATTTTTTTAATCTTCATAATCAGCTCTCTTACGGGTGCGTTCCAGTTGTGAGTTGGACATAGGATTGAAATGATTGATGGCAGAGTGAACATCGGCAAAGCTCCTCAGAAACACGTCACGAAATCATTGGCCTATTTCAGCTGCCTTTCTTGTTATTTGCTCAGATGCTGCAATCGTCAGTGTATCAAGAGGAAGTCCATTAACTATCCGTCGAGGTTCAGAAGTCGGGTCTTCGATGACTGGTTTCTGTGAGGGATGCGTGAGAACTCATCTTGAAATCACCAGGTGTCATGTTTCTAAATCAATTCATTGGGCACTATTGCCGATTTTCTCGGTCGCAGACGTGCATTGTACAACTTGTCAATCCTGTTTGAAATCTCTATCCAGCTTATGTCCCTATTTTGCATAAGATCTTTTCATAATTGAGAATATGAAATTAGCTGGTCGCAGAATTATATAACAACCATGGAATAACTGAACATGGAAAAATTGATTCATCACTCTGATCGACCATTTGTGCACAACAAAGACAAAAGCAAATGTAACAATAAGGTGTTAATGGTTCATTACATTGTTTAACATATGTATGAAAGAGCATGGTTTGTTTGGTACCTGAAAACACGTATTGACGTGGTTCCCCACAAAAAACTTGCCATGGTACGCCTGCCTGCAGACTTTGTGTTTTTTCAGCAGATCGTTAAGACTGCTGGCGATTGGACCGGTAGCAAACTCAAATTCAGCCTTCTCATCACTGTGCTCCTGCAAGAAAAGACAAATCCAGAGAAAGAACAAATGCAATGATCTTTTAATTGTATGGCTGGCCTTAAACGTGAAACCAGACATAGTTTTTACTTACTGTTTCAGCAATGTCTGCTCTGAGAATGTTGACCCTGTTGACCAATTCATTGCCAGTATAGTTGTCAAGATTATCCAGAAGACGGAGGGGAACTTTTTCTTTAAGGTTTTCCAAGTGGCTGCGCTTTTCCTTCAGATTTTTCTCCAATTTCCTCTTCCTAGACAATTCGCTTGCGACTTTCTTGTCAAAGTCAGTGACCAATCTGGCATCGTCATCATCAAGCAACCTGGAGATTGCTCTCTGCTGGAGGATTTCAACGTCAAGTTGGTGGCATTCCATCTCGAAGAGATTGTACAGCCTCTTGAACACACCTAGGAAATGTGTAAGGTTGGAACAACAACCTGTCACAGAAATATTGAGTCATATGTTAATTTGCTTTGATTTAATTTTCCAAAGTCATTTACTATACATAAATTGTTATTTTATTATCTCAAAATACTTACATTGTGAATTTAAACATTGAGCACGGGCGTATAACCAACACTTTATGACACATCGTTTGCCCGATGTCTTCTCTGCCCATCATTCACATACAGCTGATGCTGTTCACAAATGGACTGCAGAGATCTATGAAAAATGGTTTTCTCTCACACAGTGGGTGTTGCATCTGCTTCTTACTGATACGACAATATGTACAACTGTAACGGGCTGCACAGGTAAGAAAATAAAAGCAAATTGAAAATAAAATGATACTTGTGGAGCAGACAGATGGTTACGCTATGTGGCATGAGGCCAAAAAAATGATTATATGTACACTGACTACACATAAACTAATGAGTAAAGTGCACGTACCATTTGAGCTACACATTCCGTACAGCATTGTCAGAAACGCACAGTCTCCAAAACACAGGAGACGAACTTTCCGTCCTTTAAAATAACACATAAAAGGAGACTTTACTTATACAAAACACAAAGATATGCATGATGCTGACAGTTGTCTGCCAAAAATAAATCCACCTACCTCCATTTTTGCTTGGCTAGATCAGATGTTTGGTTGACCAGCTAGGGAAGGGTTTGCATCAGATTATATGAACTGTCATCTCCAAGGAAGCACCCAAAAACGAGTGTGTTTTTTAGGATGTTCGGATGAAGTACATTAACGATCTGAAAGGCAATTTGGAAACTGGATCTGCCTTTATCACCCCAAAATTTTATCCATATTTCATCATCTGGTATTGTTCCATTATGCCATGTGAGAGAGTTTGTCCAGATGAAAAACAGATTTGAAAAAATACTATAGTCAGTCTCTACACGATTAGAGACAGCATGCACTGGAGTAATTTTTAATTTAACAAGCGGCCGGTTTATTCATCAACACACTCAACCAATACACCAGTAGAGGGCGCTATTGGCGGGGAGAATGTGTGATTATACGTTACTGGACTTCGCCCAGACCAGCGAACACCACAATTAATTGTGGGCATCCAGTGCCGAATCAGGGGCTTTAGCAAGTCTACGGGGCTTATTGTCAGGGCTGCGCTACACGCAAGTCACGTCAAGCGATAGCAATCCGCCCCTGCATCGACCGCAAGCTCCTATCAGGAACTATACCGCACCACCAATCAGCCCCTCAACCTATCGAGCCCCTCAACGACACACGCACCACTCGGACCTAGGCACATTCACACTAAGCTAGGTGACTTTAACCCCTGCACCGGATTTTAGACATTTACCTCAGGATCAGCCATCGATCAGGACGACAGGCCTAGCCTGCGCACGCAGGCTTTCGGACGCACGTTTTTATAGCTTTTGGGCTGCTATGACCGCGCACGCGTGACCAAGCAGTGACTTCGCTGCCCTATTGCACAACGCACAAGGCGGTGCCTATGCGTCGTGCTTGCTTAACACACAGCTATGCGCGCCTAACGTCTGCCTCTGTTACTGGGCAGAGCGCCATCTACAACTTTGCACCGCGCCTAGTGACAAGCGCCCTAGGTACGTCACACAGCCTCCTGACAGGCCTAAATGCCCTCAATTAGATTAAGCCGAACAATTTAGGGCCGGCGACCATTTAGACCCGGTTTGAAAAGGGCCCCCCGGTAAGCTCGCCCGGTTGCAAAAACCCGTTTCACACCGGCCTGGCTACCTGCCTGGGATGCTGGACTGGTTGTTGATCTCGAAGTTCTTCATCCTGGGGTCTATTGTTTGCAAGTACTGGTACATGTAATCTATCCCAGAAGGAACCTGCTTGTGGTTTTTAATCCTTCAACTCTATACAATGTTTACACTAATCCGCTTAGACCCCTATTCATCTGTGCAAGCATGTTGGGGGAAGCCTTTCATCAGGGACTTTGAAATGCCAATGTGCAGACAGGCCTTATACCGGCCTGGAGTAGGCTGAATACCGGGCAGGCATTATACCGGGTGGGCTACCGGGGGGCCCTTTTCAAATCGGGTCTAAATGGTCGCCGTGCCTTACACGTATTCAAACAACGTGACAGAGTAAAAGAACATCTGTAAACAATTCTGAATAATTTACGTAAACAATATTACAATGTTACTTACCAAAGGTTTTGCTTACCTAACAATGTAAACGTTACGGGAAACAGTGATTTAAAGCCATTAAATGAAGATTCTGATTAAACCAAAAGAAATGACCACCCTAGGCTACAAAAAAGAGAGATCCCACTATGTTTCTTGAAATTATCTGATTTAACTGTAAGGCCCCTCTGTCAAAGTTCATGTGCGCAGGGCAAGAGTACAGTCCACAAGGATGTCTTGCAGGTAGGTCCGTTGCCGTGTCTGGCAATGAATTTCCACGCCGTCCACGTACGTCCTGGTTAGCACCTCCTCCACGATGGTTGTTACCCTTGGCACTCTTAGTCTTTCCAGCTCCAACCTTGGTCGAGACTTCGTCGTGGGGTCCTTTTTGCTGGTTTTGCGTCTAGGGAGAAGATGTAGCTGCCGGCCTTGGAGGCTCCTGCTGGTCCTCGCTCTTTGTGTCCTCCTCCGGAGGGATGCTGCTCAGGGTATATTCCTTCTCTGGTGACGCCCTCAACGGGGACAGGGGTTTCGTTTTCTGTGTGAACTTTTCCCTGGGTATCTGGATTCTCTTCTCGGGGGCGGGGCTACTCCTCTTCGAGCTCTGATGTTGGGGGGGAGTTGCCGCCTTTTACACCACCAGCCTTCGTACTTCTTTCTCGGGTTGATCGGCCTCTTGACGTTGCTGCTCATTCTGGGCTCCATCTACGTCGGACAGGTGGTTTATCTGGTTTGTTTTGTGGTGTCTCAGATTGTCTCGCCTTCGGTCTCGGTAGTCGCAGTGCTGGCATTGCAGGTACACTGCCAGTCTGTGATTCTTCTTGTGGCGTAGCAGGCCTCGTGGGAGTTAGACTCCTTTGGGCATTAGGAGCACTGGAATTCTTTTTGCGCTCCAACCTCCATCTTGTTTTCCTTATCCATGTGATTTTTTCGGGGACTTCTCAAAGTAACAGAGGGAACCATTGGTTAATAATTACTTTAAGCAACCATTGATTATTTATGAAATTAATGCGAGTACATAATTACTATCGATATCTTATCGGTAATATATGCTCCCGTTTGGGATATCTTCTAGGCCTTAATTCCGCCACAGTTTCCTCTGTCCTATCATGGCCCCACTCTACCGATATACATGTACTCGGTTCAAGCACTGTGTTATCTTTGCCTGAAACTTCATGACAAGTTTTGGTCCCTCAAATTTTTTTGCGTAGTCACATTTTGCCTCGTCATCACTTGGGGCCGGCTGCTCGATTGTCAGATCAATCAAGAGAGTGACTTCCCGGCATAACATCGTCATATTTGGGGATTCCCCCAGGCTTTCTTGTGTCGTGCATCTGTATGCACTGGTTGCAAATGGGAGTTACTGGTCCCAATCGCGTTGACCTTTGTGCGGGTCGGTCATCATAGAAACCATGGTGAACCATTGAACCTTTCTATGAGCCCGTCTGATTTAGGATTGTATGCTGTTGTTCTTGATTTACTTATCCCTAGTAGCCGACACATTTCCTGGAATACCTCCGATTCGAGGTTGGTCCCTTGATCCGAATGGACCTCTCGGCACCCCAAATTGACAAAACCATTCTCTAACAAACTACGAGGCAACTGTTTCTGCCTTTGCATCCGGGAGCGCATAGGCCTCCATCTATCGTGTTGTGTAGTCTCCAACCATCTTTGGTCCTTGGGAGAGGACCGACCAAGTCTAATGCCACTCTCTCCATGGTTCCTCCAACATTATACTGTTGCAAGGACGCCCTCCGTCTCTTTGGGGGCGGCTTCTTCCTTGCGCATTGATCACATTTCCGGATGTATGCTCTTACATCGGCACTCATACCTGACCAGAAGTACCGCTGCTTCACACGGGCCAGGGTCTTCTTCAGGCCAAGATGGCCTCCCAAGTTACCACCATGCAGTTCTTCTACAAACTCGCGTCTCAACATCTCAGGAACCAGCAACCTCCATTGAACCGAACAACCATCGTTCGACTCCCATCGCTGGTATAGTACACCGTCTCTCACAACCAACTGATCCCAGTAGGACCAATGCGTCTTACTTGCCGGAGACCTGTGAGCTACCTCATCCCAATGAGGGCGCTCCTCCCCCTTACCTTTGACAATTAACAACCATTTTGTCGACTCATCCACCATTTGGGCGTTTCTAAATCCTTTGCTGTTTACAGCAGGCTTCACCACAGCCACTCAGCCCCTTTTTCATCTCCTGGGCTTGAGGTTGACTGTTGTTTATCTTCTTCCACAGTAACAGTTGCATCAATATCAGCATTGTCACTATCAGAATAATCTTGTGCATTACAATGGTTGCACTGTTTACAAGGTCGTCTAGACAGACTGTCAGCATTCTGATATTTGGCACCCGGACGGTGCTGGATTGGGACGTCATACTCTGACACAACCTCCAACCATTGTGCAAGTTGTCCTTCCGGTTTCTTCGAGTGCATTAACCATACCAGGGAAGAGTGGTCCGTCTGTACTTTGACCTTTTGACCGTAAAGGTACTGGTGGAAGTACTTTAAATACAAAACCTCTGCGAGCCGCTTTCTTCGAGCGACGCAGTAGTTTCTCTCAGCTTTGCTCAACATCCGGCTTGCAAAAGCACCAACTTTCTCGACACCGTTATGCACCTGAAACAGTACGGCCCCGATGCCCTCTGAACTTGATCCGTACCAAGATGTACTCGCTATTTGGTAACGGGTAGGCCAGTACCGGGGCCCCTAGAAAACACTATTTCAGCCAGTGGAATGCCTTACCACAAGACTCGTCCCAATTAATTCTTTTGACATTGGCGTCAAGGTATGCAGTGG